AAATATTTTACATGTCACAAGTACTAAACAGATTTGCAAGAGACAAAGTGAAAATGTCAAAATTGCTGATGACTTCCTAATTTGTGATGAATTTGTTATAAATATTAGTAAACTTGTCAAATGAGTACTAGTCGTAGAATCGCTTTGCGGGTTGATCCGCAACCCAACTACATCCACGTATGATGTATCGTCACGGGTTTAGAATGTGCTTGCTTAAATTCCCATTATTATGACAAATTCAAACTCAAATCCAACAAGCAAAATACCCCTAGATTTCTTGTTTTTGGACAATCTTGAGAGGTGTTTGCAGTTGGGCCAAACCGCACAATAGGTGACAAAAAATAACAAGCGATCGACAATAGGCCCAACAAGGAGTGGGCCATGGCCGTACGTAAATTTGTATGAAGCCCACTCAATGGAGCCCTCAGCCACCCACCATGCATGCACAAAGAATTTCCAAAACATGACATCTTGCTCCCACTGATGATCACATGGGTCGTCCTAATTCCATGTACGTTATTTTCCCCTTACAATTTCACTGGCTTTAACCCTGCCCTTTGGGCAGGTATTCTTTTTATATATTATCATGATGTTATGGCTGAAGAGAGGATTGCAAAGAATGAACGAATTATCTCGAGTAATGGTAGAGACAAAAGTGGATTTTAGTAGGGGATAAAAATACTGTTCTTTTTCCATAGAAGCGCAACAAATAATCAGCGAAAATGGCCTTTGTTAACCAAAATGGTTGATGTGGAATTTCTTGAATGCAAACATGAGATCAAAATGGCCTTTGTTAACCACTTTCAAGAAAGATTCAAGGAAGTTAAGACAACAGGCAGCTTTTTAGTCTTGAGGACAATTACGGTTTATCGCGAGGCCGTTCACGAAATGGGAGATTTAGGAGACTGGGAAACGGAGATAAAGCGCCAGGACCAGATGGATATGTACAATAACTTAATTTCTATAAGAAGTAATGCTGACATATATTATATTAAAGGGAACTTATTGACAGAATTTTATACCACTGGATTCCTGCCACAATAGCATAGCACACTCCTTCCTTAATTTTCTCTGACTTTTAAAATCGATACTATATGACTAAAATGTTATATACCATGTTAGCGAACAAACGATCATGTAGCCCCAACAACTCAAACCATGCGTCGTTGGGAAAAAAGGTTATGTGTGAATTTTAAGGTATAAAGCTTGGAGTTAACTCTCGATCAACCATTAACAAAAACAAACAAAACAAAACAAATGGGCATTGTAGTCCTCTCCGCGCGCTGCAACAATTTACAGTGCATAAAACCAGCTGAAAAACAAATGAAGTCGCGATCTCTGCAATGACGGCGAAAAAACCCCCACGACACAAGAGAGAGCAGCAGTGAAGATACCGAAGTCGTCTTCACAAACTGTCACACTATATATAGAGTAATATACAAGTAATTGCAGCAACATGCATACATTACTACAAGTGTAAATTCCAATATTAGCAATGGCGATGAAGATGCACCTTCTCAGTATTGCTCAGTTGGCGGCCGTCTTGCTTCCGCTCATAATATGGGTCGCCCTTCCTTCAACCGCATCGGGTAGAGCTAGTCCGCAGCCGGAGAATCTCGTCGACGCACCGGCGACTTACGTCATCAGGTATACATAGTTTTGTCGATGATGATGGTATACTATTACTATATACAGCCGGTCGGTCTACCACGACGATATATTGCAGGAGTAAGAGGCGGACCGTGTGTCAAGCGACACACCTCCGCACGAATATTTTGTGAGAGACCCATGTTTTGTCGGTATAATTTTTTGGAATTTAGGACTTTTGACACACCTTGAATAATTGTTATTGACACACCTTTAATACACTACGATGAATTTAGTGTCATAAAGTTCCCAAAATCCGTAAATATATGTTATTTATTTTAAATTTTAGTTAACTTATGACAAATTTGGGGTTCTTTCCATTGCTTAAGCATTTAGATGCAAGGGTTTATTGCTTATAGGTTTTAGGCATGAGTAATCATAAGGAAGTTTTCTCTTTTTTCTCTCTACCTGAATAAGTTTCGTTTCTTCTTGATCCTTGTAGGTTTCACATAGTTGTCCACCTAGTGACAAAAAATACTCTTTCATCGAGAGTCTGGTTGCATATGGACTACTATCTTATAAAAAAAACTCCAATGTTCCTTTGCCTCTTTCGATCCCACTTCTCGTTGTGTTACACAGTAAAATATAATTAAAATTTATTTATTATTTTATTTAATTTTATCGATTGACACACCTTTACGAGAATCCTGGGTCCGCCACTGTAACGATAGGACGTCTCGAATATTCATGTGATTTTTACTTTTGTTTCATCAATAGATCTTGTCCCATCGATCAAAATTAATTCGAACTATCGGAAAAAAAAGAAGACCAAGATCTTAGAAAAAACGATGGGGATACAAATCGTTGAAAAAATTAACGAGAAGATAAATTATATGTATGTAGTAGTTGTGGGTAAATTAAGAAGACACGAATTATGTGCATGTAGTACGTACTTGTGCTTGCTATTTTAGTATTCTCTTTCTTTTGCGGACGATTTTTCAACGGATTATTGCGTAAATAAAATCTGCATTTCGACAAGAACAATATTATTCTCGTCAGTTGATCAACTAATTAATTCTTACGCAATTTCATCGATCATGCAGCAGCAACCAGTACCAGAACTTGACCTCCTCTCAGCAGCTGCTACAGCCGAAAAGAGGAACGGGTGTAGTCGTGATACCTCGAGGAGCATCCAACAACAACAACAACAATGGTTCATCAGTAGAGGATACGTGCAATCCTTTTTGCAACGACACTGCATGTGGTAACTATTACCCATACATATGCGATGGTCAAGATCCTAACTATTGCAAGCCGAGCTGTGACTGCTCGACCAATACTTGTTATTGCTACTGCTCTCAATAAATATATATGTATTCAATGGAAGGGAGATCCATCGGGTCGATGATTCGATTGTTTCTCTCCTTTTTTCTGGCTGGTGAGCCGATCGACAACCTAATAATCGCCGGCCGATTTGGTTGCTTTCCATGTTTTTAGTTGGGTTATTCCAGTTTGTTTGTTTTTTTTTATAATAATCCCAGGCAGTTTTCCTTCCTAGTGATGAGTTGGGATTGCTTTGTATGGGTTTTTTTTACTTTGTTTTGATAATTATATAAGTGGTCGATCTTATTATATCTTCGTTCATCCAATATTTCCTACTAAGATGTAATGACAATCTGAAATTTAGTTTTTTTTTTTTTGAATAGATAATCTGAAATTTAGTTGAAGGTCTTAAAAGGGATCACATAAGCCTCATGGGCCGGGCCGGATGGAATTCCAGACTGTTTTGACAGATAAACTATTCGTGGTTTTGACTCACAAATAATCCCAAATCTTATTGGGTGGGTGATTTGTGTGACTAGATGGTGATTGAAAATTTTCTATCTGCACTTATTCGAGTGGGGTGGTTTGAGGGGTTGTGGATTCTCACAAATGACATGTATCCCACTTTCACATGACAAAGAGTTGTTTTTTGTTTATACTATTGAAACGTCATTGTACGTATTTCATGTTATATCATAATCTTAATTATCACACATTAGCCAATGACTTTTAAAAAGCAGGAAATAAATAATAATTTGGAACTACTACTATTGGTTATTATGTTGTGTCATGTGCATTTAATATTGGTATGCAAATTTAAAGTGTTGATTGTATCAAAGTCATAAAGAACGTCAATTTTCTCTACACTAGGGCTGGGCCTGCGGGCGCATCATCCACGGGTTTAGGCTGACCCACCCGCATTTGACCCAAATTTTGTTATGTGGGTAGTCTGTGGGTGGGTGACGGGTAGTGCTGGGAGACATCCGCCGGGTGGTGGGTGGGTGTGCGAGTGACCCGCTCAACCCAACAGCAAAAAAAGTCGTTGGCACTGAAGAAGGGAGAGTGGAGACATTAGACCGAAACTAGGGCTGCTCCTAGAGATTGAACCTCAAAACCAATCTTCCAAATCATGATCTCCTCTTCTTCCCTTTATGTATCCCTCTGATTCTTGTGCCTAGATCACCTCTCTTTTCTCCGTTGAATTATTTTCCTTAGTTCCCTGCACTTGATAATCATCTCCATCTGTAGAAATTAAACTCATCCATATTAGAACTTCAATCCAATTTCAGAACTAATTCGATATTTTTTTCCAATTTCATCTTCTTGTTTCCGCCGGATAACTCTCTCCACCGATTATCATGTCAAGTTGACTCCTTTATATTATGTATATTGTAATGTGGGTGAACCCGCAAACCCACCATCCACCCTACCCAACCCGAGATTAAATGTGGGTGGGTGGTGGGTTAAAAATTATTAATCCGTTTAAGCATGGATGGGTGCGTTTTATGGTCAAAATCCGCCCTACCCACCCAATGCCCACCCCTACTCTACACTACTAGTTAATGTAGTAAAGGGGATTTAATTTGATACCTCATCCAAAGAATTGAAATCTACTGGTCTCTGAGAATCTGTGGTTAGTGAATTTGTTTTCTTTATCAATGAATACTTCACTCAAAGTAGCAATTGAGAAGTTGACATGAGTAATAAAAAAAAAATATACATGTGTCACAACTCGCAAGTACTCGACGGATCCACATGAGACAAAGTGAAAATTTTCTAAACGGCTAGTGTTTTCTTAATTTGCGACGAATTTATTATAAATATTAGTAAACTTGCCTAATGACTAGTTTTCAGGTTAACCCGCAACCCTACCGCATCCACATATGTACCCACCACCCACCCAACTCTATAATGAATGTGGGTGGATAGTGGATCACAATTTTATCACTTCGTTAACAAGCGGGTGAGTCAATCTAAAACCGAAATCTTTCCTGACCAAGATGTTGGCCAGCACTGATCCTTAATGTCACACATTCCAACATTTTCTAACCAAGTTATATATTGTCTATTTTAGATCCTACCCTGCTCGATTTCGCTTCTGAAATGCATCATGTTAACTCCCCAAGAGGTCATCCATCTCGACACCGGTCATTCTTCTTCTTCTTTCTTCTTTGAGATACTATGCCCTCTAAGGTTCTTCCAGATCGATTCATTCAAACCGATCCCAACCGAGTTATAAAAAAATAACCAAACCAGACCAAACCAAATGCATTGGCCCCTCCGCTGCAGCTCTGTAGGCATAATATAAGCCGACCTAGTAACAAAGCATAAACCAGCTGATACCCCCCTTTGAGACAAGCAATGCGAATTGTTTAATAACCGAAAAAGAAGCTAAGAGGAATTCCGGCTAATCCAGTTACGTACGCACGTTGATTTGTTATAGAAAATAATGAAGAAGATCGAAATCCCAATCTTTGAGCACTCTTAAAATGACGGTGTCTAATGTCTATATATAGAAAAGCAGCTAGAAGTGACCAAACATTCATATATGTAGCATTACCAATTACCTCAAACAAAGCTCAAACAAGAAATACAGAGTTAATTCAGAAGAATGGCCATGGCGATGATGGTGATGCAGCCCAAGATTTCCAAGTTGCCCGTCTTGCTTCCGCTGATAATTTGGGTCGTCCTCATTCCATGTACGTTATTTCCACCCTGATCATTCCATTCATTTTCTTCTTTCACATACATTTATATACACATAAATACCGATATGTTAATGATTATTTCACTGCTGCATCAGGTCTTTGCCCTTCAGGCGAATCGAGAGAAGTTAGTTCCCGATCGATACGATATTGCTCCGGCGACGTCTGCTACTAACTCTTCCGGCGGCGGTACTACAGAGGTCAATAATGTCAGGTATTGGTCTCCCTTAAAAAACACCCAATCACGAAATCGATATTAGAATATAAATAATGTTTCTCCATAACTCGAATTGTTAAGAAAGGTTTCGAATTATGGATATTACACCAGCCGCATTATATAATACTCACCATAACTAGCTTTAGAGCATATAGAGCCAACATTGGACCAACCATTGTGAAAACGTACGTACGATAATGGTAGAGTATTTCTATACTAAAATTGTGGTTTAACCGTAATTCAATTGTTCCCTTCCGCGCTAAAATTGCCTACATATTTTGGTCTGGTATATCCGGCCAGTATATTTTACGATTCAATACCGATAGGGTTTTTTTAAACATTGCATCATGGACACCTGGTTTTCTCATTCATCCTTTCGGTTGAAGTACACAAACTTTGGCACTACAAGATAACATGTGCAAGCTTGCATTTGGAGACTAAAAAGATAAAACATCAACTCAAACTAAAGTCTAAAACTAACATGGACAATAAACTAAACTTGATGATGATAATTTCCTCTAAACCCTATGTCGATCCAGCCACTTTGACATTCGTCGTCTTCGGTTTGAGTCTTGACGATAACTTATAATAATATCTCCTGATATAAAACCGACCCTCTCGAATTTTTGTTGCATGCAGTGTCCCCGCCGAGAATCATCACGATGATCTTCGCCGTCGACCTGAGACAGGAAGGACGGCCGATTATAGTCGTCGGAATGCATCGGTGGAGGCCAACTGCGGCTGGAGTTGCAACGACGAGATGTGCTCTGCTGATTACCCTGATTGGTATAGCGCTGAACCTTATTGCTGCGCCGGTTGCGACTGTTACCAGATGGAATGTGTACAAATTTGCCCCACGCCACCTCCACCGTAGCTACGGATTGATTGCATAATTAATCGCCATGAATAATGATGGAAAGAAGAAGATATCTATGTGCATGCTGGCAGCTTTTTCATTCTCTAATCTTCTCTCCTTTCTAGCTTGTACGGCCGGGGGAGATAGAGAGACAGAAACTATATGTGCTTACTTATAGTACGTACGTTCTTTTATTATGCCGTCGTTGAATTCGAATCTGAGATTTTTAGATTGAAAGAGGAGAATGAAAGGTTTGGAAAAAAAAAACTATTGTTGTTTGCTGTTGATTTCACGAGGTGAAATCTAACTAGCTTGTAGATTAATAATAATACGCGTAGGTAATAAATTAATATTATACATGTCATAAATTGCCATCTTTAATGAATTATTCTTTACACTGTCAGAAACTCAGAATATCACAAACCACCCACTTGACCGGCATTGACCTAAACGGCCGGCCACCGGCGGCAGGGTGCAAGAGTTGTATGGGCCAGTTCCGCGCGCGGCAGGTAGGAATGCCATAGCCGCCTAAGAGGCAAACGGGCTACCAAAGGCCCACTTCACAAGAGGCCACAGCCCACAAGTTTGGTTTCTGTTTATATATTTGAAGCCCATCCCAACGTAATAAAGACAATGTATACGTAGCCCACCCCCGACCCAGAACGTAGCATCATAACAAAGTGATTCAACCGTCAAATGAAATGATTCGGTGATTAAACATTCGAGTCAAATGGTTAGGTTTTATTTCTGAAATTTGGAAATGGAAGTGTTCAACGCTAGTGATATTATCACTAGATCAAGCTATTCTTCATTTAATTTTAGTCGTTATTGAGCTTTTATATGGCATTCCTTTTTAAAAGCTCCTCAAACAAAAGTCTACATGTTATAACGAAAAAACCATTTAGTCTCAATTACTCGAATAGTTGAGAAATGTTAATATACGACTCTTGTACTACTTCTAGGGTTGGACATTCGATTCTCGGTTAGCAGTTTACCGATCGGTTACAATCGAAAGCGGTCGGTTATCCACTAACCAAAAACCGGGATAACCGAAGGTCGGTGTTCGGAGGCTGGGCGAGATGGTTTTGATATTGGGAGGCGGTTTGGTTTAACCAAAAACTGGGATAACCAAATCCTTGATCCCTCTTTCGGTCGGTGGTTCGGTTAACCATTAATCGAACATTCGATTTTCGATTAAACCGAAATCGACATACCTCCCGCCCAAACTACTTCCTTACCCCTAACCCTTGTCTTATATATCTTATATCCGGTTGGTCTCTAATGTGAGCATTTTGGGTTATGGGTAGAATAGCATATATCTATAGAATTCTTACAACAAAGAAAACTACAAAGAGGAAGAATAGCTTATAACGCTTCCAAGTTACCTTATTATTGGTCGCATCGTTAGCCGTTGAAATGGTTGTTGTATCATAAGTAGCGTAAAAATACTCTCCAAAAAAGGAAGTATCATATTAAATTATTAATTGTTTTTATTTCATGACGGCGAGGCCAATGAACCAAAGCTAAGAGAACCAAATAGTAGATGTGGATAGATACCTTGTTTCTTGGCTTTAGAACGAATAATAGATGCGTGAATATATAGATATACCAATAGTAGTATTGAATACTTGCATACATGGAGGTGTTTTGCATTCAAGCAAAGAGTATATACCATGGACGAAATTTGAAAAATGAGATGACCTGACGCCATACAAAAACTAATGGATCATGCTAAGCATGACACGAAATAAATATGGTTGAAGCAACCCCGTGTTGTACTGGGCAAAGCAAGACCTAGCTAGCACGATCCTATTTAGAATAAGTGATTTCGTCATTCAAATGGCTATAAATCATTCCGCCTTTGAGTCACTATGATTAGAAGCTGGTCTTGTGTCTTATATGTGTATGACAATTGACACATTCATGATAAACATATATTATATGGTGACAAGTATTGTTTTGCTTTGTGTAATCTCCAACCCTAGTCTTGTGTCTTATAGCCGGTTGGCTATATATAGTAAGAAACATTTTGGGTTTTGAGTAGAATAATATATATATATATATATATATATATATGCTATTATACATCGGTGCACTAACTTTTTTGGGTGCACTCAGTGCACCCAACTTTAAAAGCGTCCATAAGACATTAAATTTTGAACTTTAATTAGTACTCTCAATATAATATGATGATATGACATAGAATCATAACAAATCAATCCATTACCCTAACCCCTTAAACCTTCAATTTTGAATCCCAACCAAAAATCCCAAATTGTAAACCTTAACCCTAACCCTAAATTCCTAAATCCTAAATCCTTCGAATTAAAGTAAAATTTGAATGAATTTTTTTCAAATTCATGTGCTTCTTGTTCATAATATCATAAGCAACAATTGATACTTTTTTGACATGAATCGCATGGTCAGAATGACGATTATGAGGCGGATGCATTGAGTGCACCAGAAAAAACGGGTGCACCGAATACGCCACCATATATATATATATATAGTTCTTCCAACAAAGAAAATGAAAAAGAAGAAGAAGAATAAGTTCATAGCTTACAACGCTTCCAAGCTACCCAAGTACTTGGTTGCATCGTGAGCCGTTCAAATAGGCTGTTGTATCATAAGTAGCCTAAATGTACTCCCAAAAAAGAAGGTGTAATATTAGTTGTTTTTTATTTATTTATCTCACGGCGGGGAGGCCAATGAACCGAAGCTAAGAGATCCCAAATGCACAAGAAAATTGAATATTAATAAACGAATTAAGTATATATATACATGCAAGCAGCAGCAGCAGTAGCATTTGCTCAACAAATCTAAGTATATCTCAAAAGAAGGAAAGAAAAAGCAGCCATGGCGGCCATGATCAGTACTACTATTGCTAAGCTTGTCGTCGTCTTGCTTCTGATCATCATCCTTCCATGTACTATCCCATCTTAATTTCCACTTAATTCATGTACTACACACCATATTATATATAGTATTAAGGTTTGCATGTATGCAGGTGTTTTCCCTTCAAGTGCATTGAGAGATGCCGGCTCGGAGGCCAAAAACGTCGCCGATGCTCCGGCCAACGTCAGGTATATAATAGTTTGTCGCGCGTTCGATGGTATATTATCCACCACGATGATACATTCTCGATTGTTAGATGTTTTTTTAGTAAATGGTATATGATCCACGCGATTGAACCTCTTTCAACAAAATCATGCAGCAACCACCGGAACACGACCTCCCAACTCCCTGGAAGAGGAACGGATGCAACGGTGGTGATACCGCAAACAGTACTCTACAGCATTAATGCCGGCGGCAGTCGTTGGAGCTGGACGCAGGAGGACTGCGATCACAATTGCAACGACCAGCAGTGTCGAATATTGTACCCATGTCTGTGTAACGGTCAAGATCCTAACAGGGGTTGCAAGGTGGGCTGCGTCTGTGGCCGGATTCCCTACAATTGTGATTGCCTCTGCAATTCATAAATTATTATATATGTTTCTATTTGGTTCATGCGATCGAGGTGCACGCGTCGTCGTCGATCTTCGTCGTCGGTGGCACCGGAACTTTGGATCTCTACTAGGGGTGGCTATACGGTCCGGTCCGGTTAAATTGGCCCAAATTGATCCGGTCCAGTCCGGTCTTTTGAAAATATAAGGACCGAAGATTGGATTGGATACAGTCCGGTCTTGATCCGGTCCGGTTTTGATCCGGTCCGGTCCCAATTCGGTCTTGATTTTACATTGAGATTGTGGGATTTGAGTGGCCTAAGGCCTTAAAGGGTGAGGAGTTGGTTAAGTTTTGTACTAAGTGCAAAGGTTTGTGACCGTTTATGCAAATTACCCTTAAGTTTTGGGTGTTGAGCTCTCTTATCCGGTCTTTATCCGGTTTTTTTACCTCAAATCTAAGCCCAAAGATTGGATTGGATTGTTTACTATCCGGTCTCGGTCTGGTCTCGGTCCGGGTTATACGGTCCGGTTTCCAGTTTTTAATCCGGTCCCGGTCCAAATAGCCACCCCTAATCTCTACCACTTTGCAATCGACATCCTAATTAATCGCCCGCCTACGCGATCTCCATATTTTCGTTGTCGTGATTTTCATGATGATTTCGATCGGTTTGTTTTCTCTTTTCTTTTTATGTTTCCATACCGTTTTCCTTCCTAGTCATGAGTTGGGCATGTATGGATAGGGTTCGTTTGGATGAGTTTTTTGGTTATGTGGTATTTGTAAGTTGAAATAACTCATTTTATATGAATGTGGAATTTGTGTGGTATTAATGTAGTAATTGGTTTTAAATGTTATGTTTGGATGGTGAGTTATTTTACCTGAGTTATTATACAATTAAAAGACAAAAAGACCAATCAACCCTCACCTTTTGCTTCCTTCCCATCTTGTTAGAACTCTTCTGTTTACCCCTCCTCCCACAGACATCTCCAAACGAACTCTGCATTCCTAGAAGAACCCCCAAAATCATCATTAGAACCCCCAAAATTATCATTACTAACCTAATTGACATCCATCACCAACTTAATTGAAATGTTAAATTCGAGACACAATTAGGATAATCAACTGGGAATGCACAAAAGAAGCCCGTTTCTCGCCGCCTTCCACTATTCCTTCTTCCTCGATGACTACGGCGGCGGAGGTCGATTCGTCGGATCTTCAATCCTGCCGCCGTCACCAACAAACCCCCTGTTGTAGGCGCCTTCGAACCCTCTGTTGTCCTCGCCTTCGTACACTCAACGCCGCCTCCTAGTCGCTGAAGAAGACTTCCGTTCGCTGCCGCTTGTTCATCGCAACGTAGGGTTCCGCCTACTCATTCTGATAGAAAAACAGAAAGGAATCCAAAAGTACCAGCAAAATCGATTTTGGTTCAGTCGATTTGGATCTGGACGGAAGAATCCAAAGGATTGAACAACAAAGAGAGAAGGAAGAAGACAGGAGAGAGGGGAGAGGCAAAAATGGGCAGAAAAGAGAAGGGAATGTGTTATTCTGAAATTCCACCTACCCATCAGTTATTTGTAATAACTCGATTTTGCATTATTCTAAAATAACTAGGAATAAAATAACGCGTTGGAGAGAATGGAAGCCAAACTGGTTATTTCGGCCGAAATAACTCATTATGAGTTCTTTGAGCCGAAATAACTCGTCCAAATAATCTATCCAAACGACCCCTACGTTTTTTTCTTTCTTGTTTGCATTTCTTCACAAATAAAACAAAGGATCGATCATTATGACATGAGGGGGAGTAACTTTGGCTCAGCCAAGAACTTAATTTTCGCCGGCCAAGTGATCTCCTTGTTCTCATTGCCACTCTTGTTGTAACTCCGGTTGCTGTTGTTTTCCTTACCCATGCCCTTGCAGTTTACTTTCCTATTTATTGATGATGAGTAGGGCCAAATGATGGTCTCGCTGCAATTGATCGTCGGTCTCAGTCAAGTTCGAAAGGACCAACTGCTCTTTTTCAAGTTATGAAATGGCTCCACGCTTTCTTCATCCTCCCGACACATAGCATACGGATTTGGAAGCACTCATCCACGCTAGATGGTTGTGGTATCAGATGATAGTGGTACGCTACTATTATCACTGGTACGCTACCACACATAGCATACAAATGATAGTGTACCACTAGCACTTGTAGCAGTACCAGTAGAGAATAACACAAAAAAAATATGGTTGTGGTATCAGATGATAGTGGCACGCTACCACTATCACTGGTACGCTACCAGAAGAAAAATGGTACCACTAAAAAACCATATCTAGAAAAGGGGAGTTGGTGACGAGAGAGAGAGGCAAAGGGGAGAGGGTGACCTCGCGACGACGGCAGTGGTGGGAGACGAAGAGATAGGAGAGAGAGCATATCCAAGGACTATGAAGCGGGTTGTGAATCTGACAACCCTTTAGGGGTTGTCACCGTATCCCGTCCCTCTGTTCCACGTATCAACCAACTCTCTTCCTCAAATACCTTCAATCATCATGGTTTTGTGGTGTCTGAGAACCGGGGTCTGATACCAACTGTTACGTAGATGCGCCTTTCGGGGCGGAATTCTAAGTGTCGAATCTTTGATCCCCGGACTGTAGGATACGTTTCTCTGACGCTCTCGAGTAGAGGATCTTGTTTTTGTCGAGAACAACCCCAAAATAGCTACGAAACTACTAAACTGAACGGGAAAAAAAAATAATAACAGCAAACAAAACATAAATTGGATTCCAATCTTC